TTCAATTCTATTCTTTTTGGCCCGCGTCACCCCCCACCATCATTTATTAGATTTCACCCTTTAGATTTTACCATGCCGCCCCAAATCGCGACAGGAGAACCGGAAATAGACATGGCTCGCTTGTGGGAGAAGTTCAAAGCGGCCGCCATCGCGACGTTAGCAAGGACGAGTCGCCGAATGAGGGCGGTCGGCGCGATTATTTTGGTCTCGTAAGTCTTATATACCTACCTACGTCCTTCCCGATTCGCTGTGGAGTTACATAGGCGATCTCAACATCAATATCCACAACCCTTTCCTCCCTGAAGAAATACGCGCAAACGAAAAGGCAAACTGTACAACTAACATCCAGCCAGACTCATCACAATATATACATTCTTCCCGACGATCCGCACCGTCGAGGTCCCGCACGTGAGGCTCGAATACGAGGAGCCGCCGCGGTCGCCCTACAACGAGAGCAAGGTGGCGCTGCTGATCGAGAACCGGCCGGGGGCGTCGCTGGCGCCGCTGATGCTGCACTTCATGTCAGTAGTGCCGCCGGACTGGCGGTTCCGGTTCATGGGGTCGACGGAGAGCGTGGCGCACATCAACGGGTCGGTGGCGATCCGGGAGCAGGTGGCGGCGGGGAAGCTGGACCTGACGTACATCCCGGGCAACATGAGCACGGCGGGGCAGGAGATGATCAGCCGGTTCCTGACGACGCGGTGGCTGTACGAGACGGTGCTGCAGCCCGCCGAGTGGCTGCTCGTCTTCCAGACCGACAGCATCCTCTGCGCCAACAGCCGCCAGAACCTCAACGACTTCCTCGACTACGACTGGGTCGGCGCCCCCTGGGACCCCTCCGGCCGCTTCGGCGGCAACGGCGGCCTCTCCCTGCGCCGCGTCAGCGCCATCGTCGACGTCCTGCGCGACCAGGTCCGCGCCCACGACTCCGAGCCCGAGGACGTCTGGCTCACCGAGCGCCTCGGCCACCGCCCCAACGCCAAGATGGCCAACGGCTCGCTGTCGCTGACCTTCAGCGGCGAGATGAACACCGGTAACCCGGAGAGCGTCGGCGACGACGGTAAGCTGAGCGACTACAACAACACCCTCGAGGCCGCCAAGGCCGGCGAGTACGTGCCGGAGATCGACGAGTGGCGGCGGGGGTTCTACGAGCCGAGTAAGTGTGCAAAAAAAAAAAAAAAAAAAAAAAACCCTATGTCATTCGCTTTCTTCTTTCCCTTTATTTGCACAAACAAGTACCCATCCAGACTAACTCCTTACTCAGTGGGATACCATACCGGTGGCAGCGGGACCTACCTGCACGCCGGCATCTGGGGCACGCCGCGGCTGCGCAAGCACATCTGGGACTACTGTCCGGAGGTAAAGATGACGCTGAACATGGACGCGGCCAAGTACGTGCCGGGGCAGTGCCACGCGAACTGGAAGCGGGACGGCGGCGTCTCGGGAGAAGAAGAAAGGCTGGGGGCCGTGGGCATCAACGACCTCGGGCACGGCACCGAGATCATCGACGGCGTCGAGTACCCGGCCCTGCCACCGAACTTGGTGCCTTGGTAAATAAATATCGAAAATCACTCGAATTTGTTGGCCCGAGGTTGTTGATGATGATGGGAAGTACACGTGGGAAATCTGCTTGAAAAGATTGTCGTCGTTGTCGGAGCGAGGGAGAAGGAATCTCCTCTGGCTTGCATTTGAAGGGTTCTAGACGGCTTGAGGGAAACTTGCCATGCACCTGTTGTCCTTTGAAATCTGTAGTTTCGGAAAGGAGTATGCTGGATAAAGGAATGATTTTTCGACCAATACAGCCCAGTCTTTGGTTTCATGAGTTTGTATCTTCTGGATTCGCCCGCGTGCTCCTAGTCAGCAGCGGGGGGCTGAAAGGACTTTTTATTAACCATGATCAAGTATTTAATTTATACATGTCCATCATACAGACTATGATATCGATAATACAAGCAACACAAATAACTTCCTATCTCCTCGTGCCACTTTACTTCTGGGTATTATGCTGATTCATCATCTCATAAGGCTTCGCCGACTATGTTACCGATAGCGCCGCCAATTTCGCCAAATAGAACGCCCCGGAAGATGGTTTCCCCCATGCTTTCAACCCAGTGACCCGACTTCTTGAGCCGTTCCTTCCAGAGATGTTGATCCCTAGGATTCAGCTCTTCCCACGCTGTGGCGGGGCCGTGGACTTCCTCATCATGAACACCAACCTGAAGATCAGGCAGTCCTTCAGGACCTACTGCGCCCGCTTCGTCATTTCGAATTACGAGCGGCTGACTATGGTGGACGTTGACGCCCGCCAAGAGATCTTCAATCGTCTTGTCACCAGTGGCAGGAACCTTCCGTATTGGGGTCGTCCAGGAGCTGGGGAGGTAGTTATTGACGCCGAGAAAAGGTTTGGTGACGCCCTTCGCCTCGAGATAAGTTTGTCCCACTATAGCGAGGATAAGCATCACGACTGTGATGAGAGTAATGGCTGTAACCGGTGATTCGCCTTTCGACTTCAAGGCTACAACGTATCGCGAAGGCTTTGGAGGTCCTCCTTTCCTCGCGGGGGCCGATTTATCGATATACTTCTTCAGTGGTATGCTGTGTACAACAGTTGTGAAGCCAACAGCTACACTGGCTAGTTTAACGGAAAGTTCGGGTGCTGTTTTGGATGACTTGGACGGGGAAAAGGACGAGAATGAAAGGCCGGTTATATTCGAAGGGTGGACAGATTTAAGCACCTGGAAGGGTGCTAGATCTGCTAGAACATCTACTTTTGAGGCGGACTTATGTTCTAGCGTGAAAAGAGATATCGAGGCGTCGTTCCCAGCAACAGCAACGACAAACTGTGTCTCGTCACGTTTGTCGGTCGTCGATGACGGCGGACATAAATTCCTCACCGCGATACCAGTAGCCTTTGACACGCCCTTGGGCAGCTTAGCTCGGATCGATAACCGGGCATTCTCCTCTTCTTCGGCCGGTAGTCGATAGCCGTGAAGAGCGACACCTTGTGAGCTGGGTTTGTTGACAACGGTGATCAGGAAGCCCGGCGTCAGGTAACGTAAGGATTTAAATGATGCCTTGGCCGTCTGTCCCTCTTCGGGGGCAATTGTGAAGACACATCTCGGCTCCGACACTTCCTCCTTGGATACTTCGACGACGAAGATCTCATGATCGGTGCAGTAACTTAATTGATATTTGTCTGGACTTGTCTGTATTACGTCCAAGTCCATTGCTTCCTTCGGGATATCTAGCCTGCCCCGGGATTTCCACCTCCCACCTCCTGAACTTGGTACATCGAATAGAGCGATCTCGGGCTGTTTAGACAGACCTGTAGCGGCGGCACCAAGTTGAGGGAAATTGTCGTAGGGGTGGGACAGTCTAAGTAGTCTTTGGTAGGCGCTTGCGTCTTTATGCACAAACAGCGCATCGCGCGCGACCTCGGAAATTCTTACACCGCTACTCTTAGCCGCCTTGCCGGGTTGGTTGATGCCGAGAAGACGAAAATGCTCGTTCTTCCCTCCTTTTATGTCTTCCGGACTCGAATTTACGCCGGCGTATACGGTAAGATTTCTATCTTTTCGCGGACCGACGGCGAGGGTGGTGACATTGTCCTCATTGGGGCTCAATTCGAGTTCGGCAACTTGGGACAGGGAGATGGGGTCGGAGGCATCAAGGAGTGTCTATAAGAGTGACAATCAGGTCAGCAGGGGACAGAAACAAAAGAGGTATCATACGATCATATCCATACAATTTTATTCCCTACACCATTTCGGCCAGGTCCGCCACCACCGGCGACAACGAGACGGTTGGGATCTGTCGGGTCGAAGCCACAAGCATAGAGCGGATAAGAAAGGGTGATCTTCGCACTGGGTATCGGGTTCACCATGGTCACAGCAGGAAGGTAGGTAGATAGTTTATTTATTTGAAGAGAGTGACTCCTGGCGACATGTTTACACGGCCATGATACAATGGCAAAAAGATGTTGGTTGAGTTGGCCTCTTCTTTGTTAGGTTGATGACGACCTAAGGGGCCGCAAGGCCAGACCACATCTTCTTATTGGGGCCAGATGGTCCTGAGCTTTTACAGGGTTGCCTCCTGCTGCAGCCTTGCTGGGCAAGTCGCGACTGCAAAAGAAGCCGCAGGTACTTCGTTTCTATGCAGTACATACATATGTACATACCTACACTAGCTCATATCATCTCCACTATAAGATCTATTTAGGCCAATGAACGTAATAATCCTGTGGAGGGCTGAAGGGATACCAAATAACCTACCTAGGTACGAGACCCTAGGTACTTACCTACTTCATCATAATGATACATAATCCACACCTCCTCCCATCACAACAATTCCGCACTTTACTACATATGTACCCATGTGGTGAGATGTTAATGGTACGATGAATCATTAATTCGGTCTCAGATGGAATTAGATAAGCACAGAAATCCTAGTGCTGCAAGAAGCACCTAGGTACCTAGTTCTATCTCCTAGGTCCTTGTCTATCTTCAGAATTATGTATTTAAAGCAGACATGTACTTAGTAAGTCCTTATGCCTCAACAAACGGAGTAGTTACCATGAACAGTAACAACAATACCAAGTATATACCAAATATACATACAACAAAACTATTGCCAATTGATATCATATCCTCTAGCCTAATATATCACAAGCTGCACTGCATGGCATCACAAGTACATTACGTATTTTGACACTATTTTATTCAGACTCGAGCAATGGTATACACTTTGTAGGTTAATACATACACGTGTAGTAAGTAGTGAGAGTTCTGACCAATCAGACAAGTTCCCGTTTTCACACATTAGGTGTGGTTCGTGCGAGTAGCGCGTTGAATATAGGAATTATGATTGGTTATTTACTCAATCTATCCACATAGTATGTATTTAATAGGTATCCACACATGCCAAATTTCAGTCTTCCCCCGGTCCACATGATCGTGCCTCATAACTTATCACAAGAGCCAAGCTTCCGCCAATAACATGAAGCCTCTATAGCACAGTGGTAGTGCGTTGCACTTGTACTTACAATCAAGTAATACCTGATATGCAAAGGTCCCTCGTTCGATCCGGGGTGGAGGCACATATTTTGTACTTTTGCCTTTTTAGAGTACTTTTCTTTTTTGGTATCTTTGGAATGCGTATGTATGTAACTGAGGCCTAAAGCTCAAAAAGAGTGTGTTAGTAAGAAGCACTGCACAAGCGGTTTGAGTCCTTCACACTAACATAAAGCCATGGTTTAGTTTGTCCAACTTCATGGTTTGTTTAAAGACGTAACAGGCTAATGACTAATTAACAATGGACATCTACTTATAATATTTATTCCATTAATCTCGATGCTACTTTTCTTATTTGTCTTGTCCTATCTTGAGTCTTAGGCATTTAAGAGAGGACATATGGTTTATTATTGCGATTATTGCCTTTGCAGGGAAGTCCGCTAGGATTTGAAGTGTCTAAGGAATACACTCTAAGCCGACTCCTGAGTAACCCCGAGATTATACTGATCGATGCACCAGCATTGAAGATCGCTTAGGTTTATTGACGCATCGGTATTTGGAAGACTTGGGTATAAGTATACATGCCCTCCTATGCTTCTTTCTCTCTACTCCAGCATGTACCACTCTCCCTCCCAATCCGCAAAGTGTTTCCGAATAAGAGCTTCCACTTGCTTCGCTTTCGTTCCGAACTCCGAAACGTTCTTCCTGCACGAGTAGATGACCGTCTCTTCGCCGCTTTCCGTCCATCCTGACCCGTACGCCAACGACTTGGGGGCCGAACCCGCTATTCTCTTGTCTGTAGCTCCCTCCCTGCTTGCCAATGCGGCTTCTTTCTGAATGGTGCTCTTTAACCGAGCGAGAGCGGCATCGATCTGCAAGAGGACCCATGTTTTCCCATCACGGCCCGGCTTATTGCTGAAGAAGTTACGGTGTCCGTTCCCGTAGCTAACAAATAAGCATGCAATGAAGATGCGCCGTTCTTCGGCCTCGACGCTCCACGGCCTAGACTCGACTGTGGAGTGTTAAAGTTAGTATATCTTACATAGGCGGTAGCTGAGCAAGGCCGCGTATTTATGTTAAGTATTCGTAAAGAAAATAGGTAGAAGGGGGTGATAATCAACGCAGATATACGGCCATAAGGACTCAGGGTTGTAAAGGAGCTAGCATACGTAGGTGACACCGGCATAGGAGGTCCTCCGAAGGAAGTGGCTCATCTCCCTGGATATGTTCTTGACAGAGATCTCGGTAGCGGTGGTATACGTTCGGGAACTCTTTGCGGAGGTATCCTGGTAGTGTTGTTTCCTTATTCGTCCATTCACCTGGAAACATCATTAGAATCCAGCATTTTTGCCGTTTTTAGAAGCGCAATATGTAAATCAGCAAGACGAGCAAGTTTCCAGATTCAATTTTGGCAGCTGAGATGATACATGTTGAATTAAGACATTGGGAACAACTTTTACGAACCTTGGCAATTTGTAAAGAGGACTATAATCGTGTCCGAGCCTACCCTTATTTGTCCGTCCCACTTGTATCGAGTGACCGAGAATGTAGGCGTTGGTGCAGTCATGATCGGTTACTAGATAATTCAAGTGTATCTCAAGAAGTGACCCCGATTAATGATTAATATTGAAATTCAGACTTGGCAATCAATAATCATCTATTAATATATTAATGAAATGGCGAGCAATTTCCGGTTAATGATTAGAGAGACAAGGCCTTAGTAACAAGGAAGACAACTACCACTTTAATATATTGCTTTTATATCTACATTATATGTTAAGAGCGGTATGGTTGTGGCTCACAGTTAGCCTACCATTTCTTTATCAGGCTCACATTAACAAACAAATCCCTTGCGGAAATTATTGTAATGCGTGACTACACATGATATGCTGATGTCGGATGAAACTACTGTAATTTGACTCTGAATTCAGATCTGATGGACTATGGTTCACTTAACAAATGCTTGGCGAGGGTCTATTCCAAACTGTACCACGTTCTTGGTGCACCTGTTACATCCATTCATTGAAATGTGAATGCTACCAAGAATATATTTTCACAAGCATTAAGCTAGTGTTATTCACTAGGCTCCTAAATCAAGCACTGGGATCTTGGTAGCCGGGGAAGTAGTCCAATAACTTTGTCACACGCTTCTATTAGTTCGGCTTTGCATGTAGGTCACATTGTTATGTGGAGTTTATGAATATTTCTATGCCAAGATAATTGTGACTCTTCATTATCCACCTTATGATTGTTGAAGTTTAGTAATAATGAGGTTAGACGGAAGTCTCAGTCAGCCAAAGGAATTAGGGTTGACAAAATCAAATTTAAAGATGAAAAACATAAAGTGCCAAGATACCTCTTACCGTAATATGGCTCATTTCTTAGATTGTTCAGACCGAATAGTCAAATATTTAGCATCACATCTAAATCTCGAGGGCTAACTCATGATGAAAAGATTCTTCAGGCTTAACCTTATAACATATGAATTATCAAAGGCTCGCATTGTATATACTCGTGGTATTCGTCCCCCCCCCCCCCCCCCCCCCCATGTTGCCGGCATGTTTCTTTCAAACCGGTAGCTTTTCTACTACGGGTTAGCAATACTCTATTGTATTGACTCTATCTAGCTTATTCAGATATTCTACCTTGATAAATTTTGACGATGATGTGCTTATATTTAGCTGGTATAAGAAATGTGGTTTAACCATAAGAACAATCTTTTAGGTGTTATGGATATGGTAATGATACTTATTCCTACTTTCTTAGAGTGTCTATGTGGTTAAGATACCTAGTTTACCTGCTTCCGCGATAACATGCCCGTTTGACACCAAACGTTCTCGATTATTGATCTAGATTTATCATGCATCATGCTCTGCCTTACATCTCTACCATCTCCTTTCAGTAAGATCACTAGGGTAGCTGTGCAGAAGTTAGTGCATCCGTCCATCTCGGTGGTCGGATTATCTCGTGGTACCTCTAGGCCGTAAGTTTGCTTGAATAGCGGTATCATCCAAGGGACATCGATCTGCAAGTGAATAATAGTCCTTTTCCCCCCTGGCTTGGAGTTCCTTCGCTATCATAGCCTGACACTCCAACTAAGTCGGCGTTTTCCTGGTTCATTTCAGTTTGGTCATTTTGATCAACGACTAGGTAATACAGTGTCCACTCCTGTCGCTTTGGAACTCCGGGGGGGAGAGAGAGAGAGAGGAGAGGGGGGGGGGTGTAGTCCCTATTCGTGGGATGTTGGCTGCCGGTTCGAAAGGGGAGAGTTCGAAGTTCCTTCACACCCACTGTTTTTGAAAGGGCATCGCCTTTGCCAGCTCTGAGAACCAACTCCTTAATAGGACCTGAGGCAGTAAGGTTCTTCAGTCGACCATTGTCGAGTCGCCGATCTGGGTCCTCGAAAGAGGTCCCTTCTTCTAATGAATGGTGGCACTTCCTGCAGCTTTTAGCCTTCCGTATCCTCTTCTAATCATCTTCCATCCCCTTAGGCGGGCCATATGGTGGGCCGTATAGTGGAAGGGGGGAAAGGTATGCAGCCGACGCCTCATGCTCTAGCCACTCGTTTCACCAGTGTTGAAGTCTTTGAACTCTTCACCATCACCGATGATATTCCATTCATCGTCCTATCCGGATCGGAGACTGGGAGATGCGGCGCCTTGCTCTTAATCGAGGTGTCCAAAGCGGTTCCCGCGTGCGCCACCCTCATGCTTGGAGAGAAAATCATGACTATATGAGGTCATTGCCCGAGGGTTTGCAATTCAACTAGAAGAATAAAATGGTAAGCTCTTCTTGGAGGATATATCACTACTGAAGCCCGAGTCACCTAAGACGTCTAGACTAGACAGAACCGTAGACACACCGCGCCAAGGGGGCACATGCGATTTATATGCGACGGTCTTTCGACCCCCGACAGTCATGTTGGTATCAATTTAGATTCTAAGATCTTTCGAGACAGTTACGTGTACCAAACGTTTGTTGAAGTATTAGAGGTAGCCTAACTCCAACAACCCCTAGGTAGTTTTGAACGATGCAGGTCATCAACCGACGTCTTCCGGACAGGCCTGCTTCCGGAGCAGAGCAGTAGCGCCCCCTAGCTGCCGGCTGGAATGGTCACCCCTGCAGCATTTATTCAATTTCCTCGTGGTCTTATTCTCTATATCTTCTCGTGATCTCTCTCCGGAGTCTTACTCTATGTTCTCTAAATCATTCCGTAGCGGTCTCATGGTGCCCTACCTAACACAATGGCGCTCTTACATGTCTTCCCTTATATTACTTTATTAGCTGCTGTTGTCACTGCTGACGAAACCAGAGACCCCCCGGATGAGTGTGCATTGTCACGTATCGAAGCAGTGGTCGACGAAGAAACCTACTCCATTGAAGAATCGATGGGTATGTAAATTGTCATTTTCGCCCGTAAAGCGGTTTCAGTCGAATGCCAGGCTTAATGCGTGGACAGATCAAGCCACGCAAGAATGCACTACTATCTACTCTGACTTTCTACGAAAACGTGATCACGGTTTTGGGTTGGATCCTACAATCACAAGAGTCTCATTGATCACATATACTACCGTCCCTACCACTGTGGCTACCATACCATTACCGTCTAAAGTGCACGACTACTCAAGCTCGGCCCGTAGCTATATAAGCGGGGAGGTGACCGGAATAGCCGTCGGCGCTGGTATTGGGGGTGTTGTCGTCATCGGCGTTCTAATATTCCTCGTCTTCCATGGGGTGACGAGGAGGAACCGGAGACGCTTTGAAATTCCACAACCTAAAGATGACGACGATGTTAGCAATGGGATGAGTGAAGAGATCCAGTTAGACAAAATGCCAGTAGTAGAGCTTCACACTGAGCACGCATTCTCCGGGCCCGAGTTGGTTAGGGAGTTAGCAACGCATGAGACGCCGGTGGAGTTGAGTGCTAGTCCCGGTGGAGGTATCGTGGAGAGTGACGAAGTATATGGATAGTTATGAGATCTGAGAGGGGTGTATCTATTGGCATTAAAACAAGACTAGTATGACATGACTGCCCGAAAAAATCGTGAAGTGGCGGTCTTGCTCAGGCCAACAAACGGTCTTATTT